AGGCAAGTAGTGAATGAATATTTACTCTTCTTCACAATAATGGAATCTGGGGGTATTCATCCAGACTATGAAGCAGTATTTTAGAAACAAATGAAAGTATGGAGTATTTATAAAACTGATAATAAAATTAAATCTCATAATTGAATTGCAGAAGTAATTGCCCCATCTTGCTTGGCTCATTGGAGATTAGGGAAATCTACACAGGAAAGATCCAGCGGGACAGTGGTCTAAGGAGTGATTTAGGAAAGTTGATAGGTATATTATGGCTGAAACCTGTGAGAACATGTCTGCAATGATTCTGTTCAGTTTTTACAGTCTTCTCCTGAGTATCAGCTACAAGGACAGTGTCAGAGATGCTGGGTAGATGTGATTTTGGATTTTGACTGTAGTAAATCCAGGAATGTGATTTTTTAAAATTTTAATTAGACTTTCAGACAGTTTTCTGACTAAAAATATTCAGAATATAATAATTTTAAAATTCCAGAATTAGGCACTTTTCCATGCTTGTGGTTGCTAATATTTTCCCTTATAAATGAAAAATATCCTAAGTGGTGTTTTGATACTAACATTTGAGAAAAGTCTGCAATATTGATATCAGTGCTTCATCTTTCTGTCATGATGTTCTACGCTGGTAAAATAGGCATCTTAGAGATATCTTCCAAAAGTTTTCAAGAGTAGCTTAGAGGGGAAAAAATAGCAGGATCAGCTCCCTGGATCATGAGTCAAAATCCTGTTTTTAGAAGTCTGGTGCTACAGCAAGTGCATTTAACTATGTTTCCTAAGTGCTTTGGAGATTTTGAAGACTCAGATTTCTGAGGAGCTTAAGTGTTTATGAAAATGTTGACAAGAAAGAAAAATGTCAGAAGGAAGGAAGAGAAGATCAGGGGAGGAGGAAAACAGTGGACATACTGTTCCTGGCATTGACTCTGTGTAGTGTTTCCACTTTTGTGTCTTCCTGCTCATGGTTTCAGGTACCCTTAGCAGACCTTTCTCCCTCCATAGTATCCAAACAGGACACTTCACTGGAAGAGCTTCCCTAGGCCAAACACTTCAGGAAGCTCTGTGCCAAATCAGGGTGAAACACCAGTGAAGTTAATTTGAAAAATTCATCAGATAAATTAAATGAGAAACTGAAAACATTTGTTTATTTAATATATAAAACATTCGTCTTTATCAGCTGCAATATTTCCTACCCTTTGATACTGTTCCACACTACCACTCCAGAGGATCTCATCTTACTAAGGTACTGAGCACGAGTTTGATTATATGAAGGCAGTGGGCCAAAAAGCTAGAGGTCTTATGCAAATTGAAATCTGCTTCTGATATATAGATATAGATTAGCTATATATCTACGCATTTATGCAGCCTTTATCCCTCTGTTTCTGTTGAAAGATCCTCCTCCTTTCCCAGCCTTTCCCTGAGCTGGCTCCTGCCCTGGACCTGGTTGTCCTTGATGAGGACTGGCCACTCGAACGTCCAGGAGCTCTTCTCCCTGCAAAGATAGGTTTGTCACTGGTCTAAATTCTGTAGCAGCAATTCTTGCTTTTGTGCTGGTTGTCATCTGTGCCATTTATTTGTGCTGGTAAGGAGCAGCTAAGAGCTGTAGAAACGGAGCTATTTCTAGGTGTTTCCAGCAGCAGTTGTCTTTGGCAAACAGAATCACAGGACAGCTCTTTGTAATGAGCATTACAGAGAACGGCTTAAGGACATGTATTCACTCTCTACTAGTTCTTCCATCCTCTTTTTGAGGATGAGGGTTGGGGAAGCCATCAGATGGAACAACCATCTGAGCTCAGCTCAGGTGAGAATCTTTCAACCTTATTTTGTGGGTTTGGATTGTGAAGACTTGCCGAAATTTTCCTGCATCAGTGTGGTTTTGAGACTCAGCTGGATAATGTACATTAGGAAACAGCACACTCTTGGGTGGGGAGGCCAAACTGAAACTTTTGTCATAGAAGAAGACTAGGAAATGGACTTGACTTTCCATACACTAGTTTTGAAGGAATGGAGTCTTCCCCCTGCTACCTTGAGACTGCTGTCCTCAGAGAGACGTTCTAATCCAGAATTATTAGTGGTACCTGATTTTGTGCAAATGTTTATGAAAGAAGACCTGTCTATTTGATCTAAAATAAGAGAAAATTTCTGTTTTATTAACAACAGAGTAATAAACCGAGTAAACTTTGTATTTGTGCTCAGTTTAAAAGTTTTTAATATGGTTTTAGTTAGGCCTTAGAGTAGGTGTTTGAGTGAAAGGATTTTATGCCATGACTTTTTCCAAATCTCTAGTTCAGCCCTGGGGACCAGGTATAAACTGTCACACAGACTTATCACCAATTAAAGCTCCTGAGAATCTACCCTCAGTTTTTTTCAAAACAGTGAACAGCCATGTTTGACATATAGAGAGCTAGCAAAACTGGAGCTAAAAAAGCCTTATTGAAAAACTGACTGCTTATTTTAGTGTTTCTATGGAACTTAATCCCAAAAAATTCAGTCTCATCCATGCTGCACTATTGATGTTTCCACATTCAGGTGGATAACTTGAGCTGGATTAATGAGAAATGCACAATGAAAAAAAGGAAATAGGCCCTTGGGAAGGTATTTCATTTGTGAGCTTTGAAAAAAATCAGAGAAAAATTCAAGAATTACTGTGCCAGATATACCAAAGCTTGAGCTTCTTGTAGTCAATGGAGTTCTCTTGCATAACTTCAGAAGACTATTTTATGCTGTTCTCTCAACTGGGTTATTAATAAACTGATAGGCTGATCATAAAGTGATGTTATTGGAATGGAAGTTTACCAAGTGAAGAATTCAGTAAATATTTTCCAGGCATCCATTTCCAATACATTGCTTGGTGTGGTGGATAGTAAGCAATACTGCCTTTTAAGACTGCAGTAATACAAAATGCTCCAAAAAGCCTAACCCTAGTAGGACTGAGACCTGAGAAGAGAACATGTAAATCCTGCACCATCAGGCCAAGATCCATTGCAAGGCATGTAGTACAGAAACAGAGTAGTCCTAGATCCCAGCTCTTTTCTTTCTTCAAGTCCTTCTCATAAATGCATATTAAAATAATTTTGAGGCAACTAATTGAACACAATTGGAAGAAATCCCTCATAGAAAAGCTTTTTAAAGAGCTTTGATTGTAATAATTCTAGCATACAGATTTGGGGCTTGGTGGTAAATTGATCTCTTTATGGAAGTGGTAAAACATTAGCATTTGCTATCAAGAGCAGAAAAAAAAAAGCTTACAAATCATTGCATTAGTTTCAGATTATTCATCAGAGTTGAAAGGCAACTGCTTGAGTTAATTTGTGTTACCATAAACAGGGCTCTGGGAAGACCACATACTTTGGAGGATAATTTGGGGTTTGTGCATGTGCCAACTGAGACATTCCTTCAGAAAATGTTCAGCTAATTTTCCAGAGAGGAGAATCTAGATTCCAGGCTGCTGTTCTGAAGGAGCAAGTTTGATCTGGCACTGATAGGGCAGCAAGGCCTGCTGACTGACAGAGGAAGGGTCTAACCAAGATGTCTTATTTATTTTCCTTCTTGTGCAGCGATAGGCAAGGAAAGTCTTCACTTCCCCTTTTCCTCAACATTCCCAAAATCTCTGATGGGGGTCGTGAAAATGCTCAGATCTGGAAAAGAGTACGAACTGAAGGTGGGGAGGATTTTGATACAGAGAATTTGCCTCAGTTGCGCTTAACATTTTCTGGTAAATAAAAGGAGGACTGTCTATACACTTGCATTGTAGTTCAAGACAGAATGAGACTGCCTGGTTTCCCTGGGTGCTGCTGTAATTACCCCAGAGCTTTTTTCTCTGTGAGAAAGAGCTACAACTGCTGTCACACGAAGGCAGCACAAACAGCAGTAGCTGAGCAAGCTGCCAGAGCTCACAGCCAGCCCTGCATTCAGAGCTGCCAGGCCTTGCTTGCAACAGGACCAGCAAAAGCAGCTTGGGTTTACCTTAGTGTGTTGTGGCCAGTCCTGGGGGAATTAATTTCTACAGAAGCTGTGCCAGCTATTCTGAGGTTTGGAGTATTGTGGATCTTTTAGCTTTATTGTGGGTTTTTGCCCCTTCCAAAAATAAAATGAAATCAAAACACACACCAACTCTATTGCCGACATGTTGGCACATAGAAATAACTTAACTGGCTGAAGAGTCTTCATGGAAAAGGAAAACATGGAATTTTCAGGTGGCAAGAAAAAAGCAAAAAATAAATATGACTCACTTTCATGAGCAAAACAAGAGAATTGCAAAGTTGAATGTGGGCCAGATACGTAATAATGGCAGTGGTTTCCCAATGCTGATACCTATGTGTCTTTTAAACACTACAGCATAAAAACAGTTATGCCAAAGAGAAGTGATGGGGGATAGCCCTCAAAACAGCCAGTAGCTAATGCTGCCATTGTGGTTTTATATATTTGCCTACTAAAATGACAATACAGACATGGAACATTTAGGTTTAAGAAGCCTTCTTTTCACTAAACAACGTTAAATAAACTGACAAAGTAGGGGGTTATGACTCCAGTAATTGAAACATGTTGTTCTGTTCAAGACCAGAACTCTGTAAAGACTCTTTTCACCCAGTCATGCCCTTTGTGTTTGCCTGCTACCCCTGCTAGAAATTACTGTAGACCTGAAGTATGTCTTTCCAAGTGGAGTGGGAATGACAGAGTGCAACAGCACACTTGGCAGATGGGGTCACAGCTTTTTTAGGTTGTTCATGTTCATTGTGCATTGGAAATCAACTTGCAGTTCAGAATACTTGAAGACATAGGGGGATTCTTCTCCCCACTGTTTGAGGTTTTGTTTTGGGTTTTTTTTCATGTTAACTTTAAGCCTAGGATGCAGGAAAAATAATTAGAGTGATTAATTTGGATTAACTGATTTGGGTAATCTTCATTAGCTTAATTTACGTTTCTTTTTGTGTGTTCCTCTCTCTTCTAGATTTATATTCTGAATCTGTACATTATATTGAATTTCTTTTTCCTTCTGTCTTCTAGATGTTGATGAGTGTATGGATAACAATGGAGGGTGCCAGCAGATCTGTGTAAATACTATGGGAAGCTACGAATGTCAGTGCAAAGAGGGCTTTTTCCTGAGTGATAACCAGCACACCTGCATTCATCGCTCCGTTGGTAAGTTTTCAGCGTGTAAAATGTGCTCTTTAGAATAACCCTGTTCACTCAGAAAAGCTGAAACAGTTTGCGGTTTGTTGGGCTTTTTGTTTTTTAATCTCCACAGCTCCCAAAATCATTTTACTAGTTGGTTCAAATTGATTGATTCCTCTGCTACCCAAACTTGTAGCAGAGCCATAAATAAGACAAAGAAACAGGCTTTGGTTTGACACACAAATTATACTTGGTTCACACAGCAGACTCTTTGTGCAGGCAGAGACAGATTTTCAAATGGTAACTTTCTGCTTCTGAGTTTCCGGAAATTAAAAATCTGTCTATTTTATTGTCTGTACACCATTGGATAATGGTGTACCTGTGTTTTACCTCAGAAAGCACAGTGTCTTAAATCCAAATGAGCAGCTTGTTAATTCTGTAAATTACACAGTTTATGGGGGGTTTTGCCAGTCATGTAGCTCATTATTTCATTGCAGACTGATCATGGCTGATACTATATCGACACAGGATTTTCCTTTGGTTCAGTACCCTATCCTAGGGTGGATTAAAAAACAGTTTCTTTCTTGCCTATGCACAAGCAATAGAAACAAGGAATCACTGCAGAACTGATCCTTGTCTGCTGCTGTTTTGGACTAGAATAAGCAGCTCTCCTTTTTCTGTAGATGTCAGACATGGAAGGCAAGTTTGAGTGGAAAGGGAGAAAAGAAAACAACATAGCTATAAATCTTTGCCAATTAAGTGGACTCTCTCAGTTTTCATTCAGGCTTCTGTGTCTCTGGCATCAGTGGGAATATATGCTAGCAAACTCATTTACCAATAAGCAATACAGAGCGAATTAGCAAGATGAGACTGGTGATCAACAGTGTAAGCATGCTGTAAATTTCAACAGGCCACACAGATGCTTCTGAACTATTTTTAAGTGACTAATACTAACCAGAAAATCATACTTGAACACAGAGTATGAGTTTAGTCGTTCTGTTGATAAGAAAGCAAAATGTCACAATTTTGCTGCAATTCAGCATCTCAGAAATGTAGATGTATTTCTGGCACTGTATGTTGTTGCAGTCCTCTCTCGGGGGGTCCCCTCTGTCCCACCCCCCGTGGTGAGAGCCCTGCTCGTCAAGGAACACAGGCGTCGGAGGGGGTCCTGGAGTGGATACAACACGGACTCAAAGTATCTAGACACAGGAGGCTCAAACTTGCTGGAGTAATCCCGGGTTTATTGCATGTCATCCATCTGGGGCAAGAACCAGACCAAAATGCCCTGGGTTTTCTCTTATACCGGGGGCAGGGGTGATGGGGTGATACAGGGAGGTCACAGCCAATGGGAAGGGGGAAGGGAAAGAGGGTTTTCAGGTAGGAACTAACATTACACAAACCAGAGGTGAGTTTTACCCTTGGGAGATACCAAGATTTTTTTAGATGCACTACAACTGTGTGTCTGCTTAAATGGAATTGTAATGACAAGTAATGATTTTGACTTTCAGAGTTGTGAAACTATGGAATATATTGACAGGTCCACTTTTTAGCATGATTATTAAGTTTAAAGTATTTTGATTATGACAAGAATATGCAGTTAAGCTACATGAACCAGTGTGTGTTTGAGGTTGTTATCTAATAGGTTTTTAATCGTTCTTTAAACCTAAATTGTCCAGGTTTCTGTCCACCATAAAGTAACCCTGACACAAAGATAGAGCAAGGAATAGTAGCTGGAGGCTTAATGAAAAGCACTTGCAGAGTACTGTGCTACAATTATTATTTCAATTTGCACATTATAAAATTTCCCAGCTGTAATAAAAAAAGAATTTAGTTATCTGAGATGGAAACTAATGAAATAAATTAAAAATGAGACTATAAAGGCAAAAGTTAATTTTAAGGAATAGTTTCATTGGGGTAAAAAGGTATGTTTCTATGGCAATGAGGATTCCTAGTTTGTCAGAAAGTCTAGGGGAGTGGATTTGAATACTCACTGCTGTGGGCACATAATAAATATGCATGGAAAATATATTTGTGTTAACTTGTTTACAAAGAAAATGTCATACAAAACATGGATGTTCAATTTGAAGCAACGTGTTTAAATTATTTTAGATCTGAAAAAAACCAAGCAAACTACCAAATAGAGTAGTGGGGATTGCAGTATGTTTTACGAACAAATGGTTTGCAGCTTTTCAGAAGTAAAGTGTCAATTTACAGTAACAGCAAACATTACTCTGCAGTGTCATGAGCCTCACAGAAATACATCAGGTGGGTATGCCAGAGGAAGGAACTGAGATGAAATGATCTCTTTCACCTTCTTGTCAGAGGTGACTGAACTGCAAGCAGTAAACATGCATAGTGAGAAAGCAAATGTTTTTTTTAATATCCGTGTTTACTCACTTTCGTAGGTATCACTTGTAAACGCTGATACAGAAACTGTTTGAACACAAAAATACACATCAACATATTTATCCGGATTGGTGCCCAGGGCTATATGGTGACTCTGCCTCTGTTGGTAAACAGGGCTGGAGTGGACAAAGGCACACCATGCAGCCAGCACTGCAATCCAAACACAAGGGCACTGACTTGCCAAAGGCCTTTAGCAAGTTTGTTGACTTCGTGCATAATGAGATCCATTCATTGTAGGATGGGTGCATTTCTATCTCTGTAAAATGCATGTGCAGTAACAGATGTCCTCAACATTACCTAAAGTCTCTCCAAGAACTCAGCTAGTCTAAAACCATCAGCCACAAGGCTCTTCATGCAGTTTGCTGCCACCTTTTCCCTCCTGTTTTCAAACACCTTGGGAAAAAAGAGAGAAGCATTGCAAGGTGCTTAGGACATGATTGGAGTTGGGATGAGTTCAGAAGGGAGGGAGCAGCACCAAGCCTAAGGATGCCCTGCCTACAGGCCCAGCTCACCTGCCTCAGACACCAGCAGAGCTGGTGCTGATCACCAGCACATTCAAGTAATGGGGTGGTTTCAACCCTTAAAAAGGACTTTGGGTATTGAGAGTTGAGCAGAGGAAGGAATACATCCCTTTTTGCACTTACCAGGCAAAGGAATGTTTTCTTCTGATAAGAGATATCCTCCTTAAAATTGTTGGCTGCCCTGTGAATTTTCTCATCTTCCAGAGATGCACTGTGCTTGTCCCAGTGTTTTTGGGGTGATTTGTGTAACCGTGCTCCTACCCACAAGTTGTGGTTAAAAGCCATATTGGAGTTCATGATTGGGGGCTTATGTTCTTGTTTCTCAAATGACATGTTGGCTTGCCATCCAGAAGTGTTATTATTTCTTGTAGACAAAAGGTATTAATGATTCACAGATAATAATTTTGTACTAGTGGGAGGCCAGGCTGACATTAAAGTCAGAGCAAACCCTGATGTCCCAGCATTTGCACTATTTCACTTCATTACAGGCCTACTGACTTTTTATGTTTAGTCCCAGTGTCTTTTGGAAGGATAATTTGCCCAAGACAACTTGCCTCACTTATTTTTGCATGAAACTTAATTTCGCTTTGCTGAGTCAGATTCAGTGCTAGTTTACTCGCAATAATGATGGCAGGAACAGGGACAGATAATGGGAAGGAGAATAAATTGAAGTTATGGAGAACTTAACAGTTGTTTATCTTTGTATATCTTAATTGCATGAGTGGATATGAACAGTGGGAATTATAGCAGAGACAAGGTTGTGTTTGTTTCCTCATGACTTATAGAGAAACCTGAATAAAACAGCTGTTACTGTATCATCTCCAGCTCAAGAGGGAGCATGTGTTTAATAAATGTGGAAATTGCTATCATATACTACTGCTGTGACTGAGTCAGGTTAGTGGGTTACAGCATGTTTTCACTGAATTTGATGATGAGACAAAAGCCCTAATTCGACAAAGCCTTGGGGCAGATCCTTAAAGTCCTAGTTTAGGAAAGCTGGTGAAAAATCTAAATTGTGCTTAAAAAGTATCAAAATGGACAGAGTGCCTACAGATTGATGGACAAAACAGACAGAGAGAGTGCCTGTCTCTCCACTGAAGCTCAGAGTGAACACAGTGAAGGGTAGGGTGCATCCTATTTGCATTACAACTTACAAAAGGTATTGTGGGAAGGCGCCCTGGCTTCAAACTGCCTCACCTACCCAAATTCCCAGCTGAGTCCCACCTCCAGGGGCAAGCACAGAGGGTTTTTGCCTACAAGCAATGTACTTCAGGAGCTCTGTGGCTGGGAATACTTCAGCCCCTTTAGATTCCATCCCCTGGATGTCTACATCTAGCATACCTATATTAATGCTTTTATGTATGCTAATCATTTACTGCCAATGTTTTTATACAGCAAGCACCAAGTAAGCTGAAAAGGCAGGTGAATTATGAGCGGCAGTTACATATGGAGATGAGAAGAGGTGGAGAAATACCAGATTATAGAAGGCTGATCGTGGTGGTCTCATCAAGTGGTGAAAAAGCTTTTTACACAGTTGTCACTGTCATTTTCAAGCCTGTTAAAGGAACACTTAGCAAGGAAATGCTTTTTCACCTCCTTTTATCCCATTAGCCTTAGCAGAGTTAGGGAATTTGACATAAAGTCAAGCTACCACAATTTAGCAGGATTCTCAAAAACAGCTTGTCTCTTTCTATACCAGAAGTGTGTAGGTTTAGACCCAGAGGGAAAAGAAATGTGCCAAGCCACATTGTCTTGCAGTTGATAAATAGCCCTGTGGAATGACTTACCATGCTTTTGCTGATATACAGAAACTTGTTAAACTTCATTATATGTTAAACCCTTGTTAATTTTGCAGTAGTAGCATAGGAGTCCACTAGTCAGCTGACATCAAACTACTGAGTTTCATCTTCTGAGGATTATAAAGCCACCTTTGTTCAATTTTTTTCCTTACTATTTTCCTTGATTTATTTTTATTCTTCGTGTGTTTTCTTAGTTCAGTGTGATTTCACGGTGGTAGAATAATGTGTTAGGACTTCCTGGGAGGAAGCACCGTCCCCAGTCACTGGGGACTCAGTTGGGCACTCAGTTGGGATTCTGGGA